TGAGTATTGAAATAATGTATTATGAGTAACGAGTATAAAAAATGTCATGTTATGTATGTATATATGATTTTCTGTCAACTCTGTTCTCACTGAAACTTTTTGCACAATATTTTTCGACGGCTATTTTAGGCTGTATTGATCCATTTTCAAAGACTCTTGGGAAGTTGTCAACTCTTTTTATACATTAAAGAGTTTTAGTCCTGTCTTGGGATAGGAGACAGATGTTGTTCGTCCCAGCAAATATTTTTTCTTTGACCCATATAAATAATTCAAGTTAAAACGTATGTGCGCTGTTTGAAACCAAAATGTGTAGATTCTGTATTTTAATTTACTTTTTGGTACCACTAGACCAATTGGGTACCAGGAACCCAGATTTCTAATTAATAATTTTCCATATAAAATATAAAAGAATTAAATGTTGAAGAAATACTTAAGAAATTGTAACTCCTATGAATGTTGTAAAATTAAATTTTTCAGAGCTTCTACCCCTCATTTAAAGTAATATCAAAGCAAAATCACCCTTATGGACCGTAAGAGGTCGAATTAATATTCAGTTATAAGTGCGAAAGCGGTCACAATTTAATTTTTTGATCCGGAAAAGTAATAAACAATGCAAAAAATAATGCTTTTAGTTCTTTAATATGAGTATTACGTTAGTATTTCAATTTCAAGGCATCTTAACTTTGAATTTTCCTAACTTAACGAACATATATCCTGTTTAATACCATGCATAAAACTTTTACTGCTATCCAATTTCACATCAATATCAAGGTCTTAAAAGATTTATCCTAAAATCTGATGAAAAACGGATCAGTTCCACAGCTTTCTGAGAATAAGGGTCTTAAATACACCAGTATACTGTAATGCTATAGTCATATTATGGATTAACGAAGCCCACGGCCTCGCCGCGCCTGCTAATGAGCGTCCGACCATTTTCTATTAAGCAGAACGGACACCGGCAATTAAGATGAGAAAACGCTTAGATGAGGAAGTAAAAAGTATCGGTTTACCTATGAGGGCTAGGATAAGTTCTGTTTTGGCAGTAATTGGTGTTAAGGAACGTGTGTTTATTTGGTATGATATGGAGAAAAATTCGGAATATTTTTTTTTGAAGTAGAAAAAAGTCGTAATGTCACGTACAGCAGTTTTGTTCTCCAGTAAGAGTAATAATATAATAAATACAAGCAGAATGATTAAACTAATTTCATTCAAATAGTGAATTACAATTGGGAAAGTACGTTATTCTTAACACATTATAATCGTAGATGTGTTTCCTCAATCATAAAATCCAATAAACCAACATTATGTAATTTATAGTATCATAATCATTATCATCAACAGCTTATAAATACCCACTACTGAGCAAAGCCCCTTCTCACTCGGAGAAGGTTTGAGCATTGATCACCACGCTTGCTCAATGCGAGTTGGCGATTACAAACTTATATTTAGAAATTATAAGCCAAGGTTTCGTCACGATATTTTCCTTCACCGTATGTCAGTTGTGTCTAGGTAAAATTAGAAAGTACATATAACTCGGAAAAAGTAACATTGATACTTGCCGTTGGTAGGTTTCGAACCCGCACCCTCATCCATGAGAAGCGGGCGTCTTAAAACTCCAGGCCACCACGACATATTTATAGTATAGGTAACCAAAAATCCCATACTACATTTCCCTGACATAGGGATCAAAATCCTAATCGCATGATCCACTATCTTATATCCATAATCTCTATTACATAATGATGTCATATAAAGTAAAAGGTATAAAGCTTATACGACAGAAATGGAACATCAGAGTAACGAATAATATTTATCTAATGCTTCTGCTGACAAGCCAAGGGGAAATGTATACGAGTACACATACTTGCAATAAAAATAGGTCAGCGAATACATTTACTGGCATAAAAAGATTGACAAGACCGACTAAAGTTTCTCTAGCCCGCGTTTTTCCATAACATACAAAAGGATAGTGCAGAAATATCACATGTTATGTCTTCATATGAGGATTCCGTACTCTGTGAGCTTAAACTTTATTTTTTAATCTCAAATTATGGTTGAGAATATTATAGTATTAGTGTAAATATATAATTATGCATTGTTAAAGTAGCTTAGTATTTGAATACCTAATGCAGAAACAAACTGAAAATCTATAAAAATTTAATGTTACAGTAAATATCTATAAAAGTGACTAAGAAAGTTTGATCGGACAATAGTTTACAGGAGCCTCGATTGTAGTGGAAAATAGTGTAGGAATGAATAAAAGTCACACCTCAAATATGAATCAAATTCCATCTTAGTTAATTTAGCCGTTTCTGCATGGCTAACATAAAGAAAATTCACAGACAAATACAAATATTGCTTGTAAAAACTGGACCTTCTTTCACCTCCCTTTTCATAGCAAAAATATGATTATGTACATATGTGGAGTCAACTTCATTACGATTCCAAACATGTTGCGACATGTCCTTCTCTACGACTATAATGAGACTAAATCTCCAGATATTAACTTACTTCATAAATCTCTTTGCTAAGTTACATTATTAATGGCGACGCGTCAAAAACATATGTAATTAGGATAGATAAGTTTGTTTACGTTGGTTTTTTCCTGTTGGTACAGCTTTACCTTGTTGATTGAAGAGTGATGTGGACCAAAAGTAAGTAACTACAGTAGGAAAAAGGTCGTTTTGGTATCGTCTTAGTATCGAACTATAATTTAGTCTTCTGTTTATGTGCTGTTGCGTTACATGGTTTATTTTATTTATGGCATAAGCCGGTAAACGAACAGACGGTGATCTGTCTGTTCCTCAGGTGATCCTGATGGTAAGCAACCGGCGCCGCCCATGGACACCAGAAACACCAGAGGCGTTACAAGTACGTTACCGACCTTTTGAGGATTAGGAATTTAAGGATTGTTGGGGATTCAGGGATTTGGGATATTGGGGTTCGGGTAATTGGGCCGGTAACCTAACTCACGATTGAAATACAACGCTGTGGTTGTACCACGTTGGTTTTCTGTGCGGCCGTGGTATTACTTCGATCGAGCCGGCCCATTTGTGCCGAAGCATAGCTTTCTCGCACTTAAATTGATAATAAAATAAGATGGCAAAGGTAAGATCGCGAAGGTTCGACTGGGACTGGACTTATTGGGGTCATAGATGATTGTTAGGTAAAAACCAAAAGACAAGTAAAATTTATATAAGATTTGGGTTTGCCATAATCATATGTAGAGGTTGCCCAAAATCCAACATTGGTCTGTCACGAACTCTAGATGGTAATGAAGATGAGAAGAATAAGACTTGGACATCTTACCTCTAAACATGAAGCTTTGAATTATATTCTTGATAGAAACACAACATTTGGACAAAACTATCACAATATCAAATGAAGTCGGTTAATAAAGACATCAAATAACAAAATAACCTCCCAAAATCTACTCCACGATCGTAATTGAAAGTTATTTCACTCTTATACTCCGTTTATAAGGGTTATCGGAGTTAATACGAGGCATTGTTATATCTATTGTGAGTCTAGATCCCGTTGGGTGACGTAATTCATTCTAATCTTCAAAGCTTTCTTTTGTTAGGGAGAAAACCTTTGTTTGACTTTTTCTTAGCGCAGTGATTAAAGAACAAAAGTAATGTGTACAGGGTGACATAGTTAATTGTTTTCTTTGAGACTTGACACTATTTTGAACCGACTTCAAAAAAAAGAAGAAGGTTCTCGCTTTGATCTGAATGTATGTATTCAGTTTGTCCGCGATTATTTTGCAATTGGATGAACTGATTTTGATGTAGTTTCCAGAAAAACGTTTAACCCACTTAGAAAGTTTTAGTATATTAATTAAACGACCTCAAAAAAAGAGGGTTAAATTCGGTTTTTGAACGTAATTTTTGAAATCAATAAATCTAATAAAACGTGAGTTTGTTAATTAGAAAAATATTATTAGTGTCGAAAGTTTTTTCGCTACACGACCGCTTGATAATCTTATTTTTCGACATATACATGTAGGTAACTACTAACTATTGTAACATTTTTTTATTATTCCCTCTATCTAATATTCTGATTAGTGGCTGATAAATGCACACATTCTCAAACATTCTTGAGTTGAATATTCCGTACAAATAACTTTAGAACGAGTATGAAGTAAAAATGTAGTATGAAAAAAAAGTATGATTATGACAATATTCATATACGAACCTAATCATAAAAACTGATATATATACTGATATATCACCTACTTTAGTATACACAGATAGTATATTACAAAACATATTTTGAATGTATGTTACCTAGTATTGATCACCGACCTTGTTTGTTCAATATATTTGAGTGCAAGTCAATATTGTATGACTAATTCACTCGCCTGCTTGATACTTACACCCCTTTGTATATTTTCGTATCTATGTCCTCCATTTTCAATGACTATATCGGTTTACCATCTCACTTATACTGTCTGGTTGGTTGGTTTATATATTTTTATTGAGGAAATCGTGATAAGATTAGATATTAATGCTAAATGTTATCATATTGCATTCATTGTAGATGCATATGAAGTTTGTTGAAATTGAATGATAAGTTTTATGAAATAAAAATAATACTAAAATGTAATTAATGATAAAATAATCCTTGATCAGTTCTCCTTAATAAATGGCACAAACTTCAATAGAAATCTTAATTTATTATGTGGGCTTAACATAAATTTTGATAGAAATATTCATATGGAGTTGTTAAAAACATATCCAGATTCTTCGATTTACACAAAACTATCAATATTTGTAGCGTTGATATTGTTAGAGAGCCGAAATAGATATAAGAGAGCAACCATAATAATTATTAAGTTTGCAATATATTCAAAAACGAAAAACTAAATCTTAACACAACTCAATATGAACTATAAGCAAAGCAATCAGTCTACATACACATACAAAGTAAAATAAACAACTTAAACTCAACAATAAAGTAATTTCAACAATTGGTAGAAGGCTACTATATAATTTTACCTGAAATAACTGTGTTTTGCGTCGCCGACGGCGCATTCGTCACGGCTAGTAGGAAGAACGCGATCAGTGTCCTTTGTATGCACACTTCACTATACATTTTGTTATATTTTCTAGCTAATAATAACACTAACATTAATAAATTACATTCGGACTATTGCTAGTAATATTTGCTATTAAACTATCAATTCGTTCAACTGCGGTCGGCGGTGCCGGGATCTGAAACAAACAAAGAAGTTTATTGTTAGTGTTATTCTAATGTGACAATAGTAATACTGCTCGTTACTTTATAATAACATCGTTATTGTGAATAGACTGATTATGAGGATAATACAAGGGGAAAAAGTCTTTCAAGTAGTATTCGTCATCCAAAAACACTTCATTCAGTTAAAAAGAAACAAATTTAAAAGTAAAGTATACAAAAAGTTATATACACCGTCTAATAAAACCTGCTTATTCGTTTCTGATAACTAATTCAAAACAACAGAAACATCAAGAATCGAGTTCAACGTTCACAGACGTCCGCTAGATGGCGTGTTACCCAATTTATCTACCCTCTGTAGACACATCGAGTGGCTTATGCCCCCTAAGACTGGCACTCGATTAATTATTTCTACGTGTGTTTTGCCCCGTACATTTTATATGAGCCACGGAATTTGATATTCCGTCATGTCTTGTTACTCTCGAAATCAAGACATTGAGGGAATGCTAAAGTAATTTACGGAATTTAGCTTTTAACTTCGTGAGATTAGTGTCTTTTTTGTATTGAAATGTGGTTTTCAATTGAATACATGGCGTTTGTTAGTTGTTACTAAGAAAAGTTTGTTTAGATCTTTTATAAATTTGAATTGTGTTTTTATGTGGAATATCACGAATTTTCTTTTATTGACAAATTAATATGTATGTAAGAATTAATTTGTTCACATTCGACCAATGTGTTTGTAAATTACCTAAAAATAGCTGGTTACTCAGGTGAATATACTGAGAAAAGCTCTACTAGTTTCGAACCACAGAGGGGTTCTTCCTCATGAGCAGCGTGTGCAGTCGCGGCGATGTCGCGCAGCCTAATGGCATAGCTGCGTATTAGTATGTTTACGTGAGTAACTCGCGATTTTAGTTAATTTAGCATGTCTCACGATAGTTATTATAAAAATGTGTTTGTAGTCAAATTGAACTTAAAGAAAATTACAGTTCTTTTCGTAAACACAAAGAAACTAATCCATTCTCTAAAATACTAAACAACTCCAAGAAATACTACAAACACACTCATTCTTTCAACTCCATCAACTCTACGCACACAACTTAGTACTTTACTACAGAATTTATTACTAACCAATCATAGCAAGCCTGTAACAGTATATGCAATCACGGTCATAAGTTCTAAGCTAGCTAAGTATCAAAGAGACGTAATACCGAAATCCCTTTGAATAGTTCTCGCGTGTTCCTCCAACGTTACGTGAAGCAATAAAACTGGTTCAAGAACTTGGTGAAGCTTTTAGGACCGCATCAAAAACATTACAGATAGTTTAATGAAAATGGATATTTCGAGGAACGGAGTAATGCTGGAAATATACCGTTTTAGGTTTAGTTCGAATTACTTTCAGATTATTATTGTTATTAAAATTGGGTTGAGAATTTAGTTTTCATTTATTTTATAATGTATTGTCTGTTTAATTCATTGTGCCTTTTATATTTTGAGCATAGAAAAAACTTTAAGAAGATATTTTCTAGAAAAACTGATTAGAAAAAGTGGGATTCAGACTCAATAAAATCACTTCGGGTAAAATCTGACCGGATTTAGAACGTGGAGTTCTTGGAATGGAAAATAAAGTCTTTGCTGAGTGTGGTGACATTCAACTCAGTATCAATGGAAGTCACTATCATCTCTTGAGTCTTAATAATGAGTATTCGTAGTTCCGAATAATTATTAGTATTTCTGAAAACCCATAGGTACGTTCAAAGCATCGTGAAGAGCTTAAACCTCTGACAATGTATGTACCAGTTAGTCGTATAGATAAATAGATCTTTCATATCAAATGGATAGACTATAAAGATAATAAAGAGAAGACAGAATAAACATAAATACGAAACGAAATGGAAAAGTATTTCACTTATTAAATTGACTGACCGACAAAATACGGAACGACGGAAAAAGTGGGGTAAACAAGAAATTGCTAACTTTGACTCAAACGAATGCTTGCAACACCTTGAATTGCGAACGAACTATTACGATAACAATATTGAACGGACTTACAAAAAGTAGGTCAGAGTTCATTTTGATGTTATACGGATGGAAAGTTAAGAAAAATATGCACAAAACTGTCACCCACCCTGGAAATGAAGAAGAAATAAAAATTATGATTAAAGGTAATGAGTATTGCTTAGAATGTTGATAAAGTTCTAATCCCATAGTTATGGTATTACACTAATATCCATCCAAATAAATAAATGCGAAAATTTATTTATTTATGATGTTTATCCGTCAATCATGCTGAAACTACGAAAGTTATTTTGATGTAATTTGGTATACAGGCAGGGTATGGGCTGACGTAGATGATAGAATACTTTATATTATGATTAAACTGTCAAACACCGCGAGGACACCGGTGACCGCAACCTATTGTTCCTTAATTGTGTCTATAATGACGGTTAAATGCTCTCATGGGATAAAAATAATCATATTCTCTTCGTGGACGAATTCGCGAGCAACAGCTAGTTGTACTATAGATTTACGTTATATAATTTACTAGCGACCCGCCCCGGCTTCGCACGGGTGCAATATGCATGTATTATACATACAAACCTTTATTAAGAATCACTCTATCTATTAAAAAAAACCGCATTAAAATCCGTTGCGTAGTTTTAAAGATCTAAGCATACATACGGACATACAGCGAAAGAGACTTTGTTTTATACTATGTATTGATGAACTATTCTTTCTCTACTTTTCGCTAATTATGTTATGAACCCCATGTAATAAATGCGAGTGTAGTGCCACACTGGGCATAGTGATACCACCTCTCATTTTAATATGAACGAAGCAGTTCTATTATAATGATTGAATTTGAACAGCTCATTTTAAAATGAAATCAGATCACAACGACCTATAATTGACTATAAACCAAAACACATACACATCATTAATTAACTATACACACTAACAAACGGTACATAAATTATTTTACTGCCGATACCCTGTCGATATCGCAGCCTTAGGTTCTATAAACTTTCACAATATAGTTAATGTGGTAAAGTTTCGAGTTCGGATATTGACTCATTAAACCGGTGAGACCGCCCTTAGGGCCAATTCCGAACGGGAGCACTATTTTAGCCTTAATTATACATGTTTAATAGTCAAAATGTCAATTTAAGTCTCGTTACTCGATAGAATTCTGTTAAAGCAGATGCTTCTTGACTTTCTCGAAGTTTCTAAATTGTTATTTGCTTACCGACTTTCAAATTAGTTTAATAAACTCCTCTGGAATATATTAGGTCGATAGCTGTTTGATTACTTTATGATGTCCTGTCTTACTTTTTGTTTCAAATTTAGAATCAAATCTAAAAATATCGAACTTTTTTGTGATTAGGTTTTTATAGAAGAACGTTTTGTTACGCTTTCAAATGAGCGTATTGAAATGCTTTCCCAGTAGAACAAAAAAGAACTGCCATCTTTAAACCCAGTATTAATTTCGGACCCTCGCGTAAGTTGACAACAAGCAAATTATGACGTAATAATGACAGTTTATTGTTATTGATGCCTGCTTCACATAATAATTAATCATCATAATAATTTCAGGCAATTATTATTAATTGTTATTAATGATACATTTCCCAGGTTATTAATGCATGGGTCTTTTATTGAATAAAGCTTCGCGGATTTACTCAGACTACGAAATTCGAGCATTCATTGCGCTACGACTTGCTACGAAAAAACGTAGCGATTGTGTAGCAGTTCGTAGCGTTGAATTGAATTCAGTTGGCGAAACGACCAAACGTTATATTGTTTTTGTTACGAGTTTTTCAAGTTATTGAATGCTCAGTATCCGTGGAATATTTGACTTGGGTGATTTGTATTGTGAAATTAAATATGTTTTTATTCAAATTTAAATTCAAAGTGTGGCGTTTAAAAATGCCGTTCTATATATTATTTTGGTGGTTCAGTTTATACCTATAAAGTTCGAACCTCTAAACAGGAGAATGTTCAGCAGAAGACTTGGTAATATATAGTATGTTATGAGACTTGAATTCATTTTATTTGATGTCAGTGTTAGATTTTCTTCACTAATTGGAATGTTTAACTGCACGGTTGGCGCGGTGGCTGGGCAAATGGCTGCCGCGCAACGTATAGCGAGTTCCATTCACACACTCACACTCACACAACTCTTTGTGTGATGCAGAAATTGTTATTCACATTCTGGGTGTAATGTGTATGTAAAATTGTATGTTTGTAAATGCACTTCCGACACAGGTGAAAATCCTAATGTGTGGCGATACGTTGCGTTGATAAAAAGAAAAAAAACATTCATTATATAAACAGAGATAACCACAGGAATAAGTCAGTCAGTTTTCTACTGACTAGTATAGTTTGTGCCATTAGTTGTCAGAGTTGTGGCACTCGATACAAATGACGTGTCACATACAATGTGTACGCAAAAAGCCGAGTAAGCGTTTTGTCAAACATTTTTGCCCTGACGGATTGTTTTTTGCGTTTAGATAACATTCTGGAGTAAGTATATCTATTGTGCATTGCTACTTATAAAGGTATAGGTCTACGAATGTTTTTAGATATCATTCGTTAATGATTTGTCGAAATTATTAGGTACAGAGTACTCTTATAAATGAAAATGAAGAAGCTAAGGAAGTATATTTGGATTTATTTTCTTAAAAAAAACATTGCCACGCTAAGTTTTTCCTCTTCTATCGTGGATGCGTTAACAAGCATACAATTTCATATAGACATGACACTAAAACCCGAAACAGCAATCTGTAGATCACACGAAAAATTCTTCCATGCGGGAATCGAAGCTGCGACACGGTACTCGAAGGCCGGTTACAAAGCCACTGCGCCAACCGTACAGGATCGTAGTAACTGAATTACAGTAGTTTCTGTCATGTCTGTCAAAATTTCATTGAACAGGCATGGTTAGGTTTCACCTTTCTTGTAATATTGTGCTTCTCATTCAGTTCATTATTTTATCATACATTCCAATAAATCTTAA